TGTGTCTCAGAAAAGCTTAATGGATTAGCAATTTTAAGCATTGAGCATTAGATCTTTACAAAAATGATAATGCATCAATTATTGATGATTTCGCTTCACAATGTTCTGCGAAAAATGTTTCTAAGTTATGTTTTTTGTGATATTTGTGTTGTTATTTTTGCGTAGATATGTAGTTTAATTAAGAATAAAGTGAATTTCATCATTATTTCATAACCCTTATTAGATAGTTTACTATATTTTTTAGTTTAAGTGAGTATAATTTACAAATAAGCCAAAAATAGTATATATATCGTCCATAGGCCCAAAAGTTGACATGACCGACCTTGTTTGAAAATAGAGTACAAAGTCAAATTTTCCCAGTAAAAAGTGCACATGTATATAAGGGCTAGACCCTATTTTCCTAATTTCATTAAAAAAAATCATTAACATTGCGACAAATATCAGCACATATTTAAATATCGATGGTACACATTCGATCTAATATAAGACTTTCACATGATAATATATGAGATATGAATGAAAGTTACACTAAATAAAGAACAAGAAAAATACAAGGTTTACTAATATAAAAAATAAATACTTTTATTGTGGGAAAATAACTTTAAATAATGCAACTTATCTTCAATGAATTAAGAATAATACATACTTTGGAGATAGCTTTAAAAAATACCAACCCAATGAGTATATAACAAAAGTGATATAGAGGAACTTCACTAAAAATCCAATTCAATTCACCAAAAATTAATATCAAAATATTAAATAAATGACCTTATTGTCAAATATCATTTATTTGATGGTTTGATATAAGTTATTTGATGTTTTTAATGATTGTATTTCTTGTCAAAAAGTGGCTCCATATTATTTTTGTTGTATATATTCAAATAGTTGATATTATTAGAAATCATTTTCAAAGTATGTATTGTTATTCGTTCATACAGGATAGTTGATATGGGAAAAGCACTTGATATGGGAAAAGCACTGGTGCTTTGGAACAAAATCAAGGCATACTACGATGAGAAGCAATTATTTTTTAACTAAACATTATAAATTTTCAATAAAAACATTTATAGACCAATGAAAATGTAGTGGAAAAGGATAGACCGTAAGAAGTATACTCTTCTCTTGCACGCTTGTGGAACAGTGGAAGAGTCCATGAGTACATCTCCTTCCTTCTCTTTTCACCCTATTTCTTCTCTTGCTCACTTTGTACTTCAAAAAACTGCTCACAAAACTTGTAGTATAGCTCAAGACTTGAAGAGCCTTTTTGATAACATGATATTGATTGAATCAATTGGTTTTGTTAAATTTTATCAAGTTCAGATCAAATTGTCTAAATGTGTTGAATTAAAAGCATATATATATATATTGTGAAAATAGCTAAAATAGAACTACATCCGTCCCACTAAGATTGAAACAATTCGGTTTACGATGCTTGACCGACGATAAAGCAAACAGATCAATGTCTGCACTCAAATTATTTTTAGAAAAAAATTTACATATTCAGAAACTACATCAAAAGCTTTACAAAGTCATAATGACCAAAATCAAATTTGATAAAATTAGATATATAAAGTAAGAGATTAAAAATGATTTGTGTTGATCAAGTGAATAGAATCTGGGACAATCTTAGCGGGACGGAGGGAGTAATTTTCTGCAAATCCACCAGAAAATTGGGTCACCTATTTTCCGCAAAAAGATTTAAGAGCCCGATTGGTAACTCGTGTTTCAGCTAATCAACCTAATTAGTCAACTTTTTACCAAACACATAACTTTTGATTTACCGCACACAATTGTTCAATAATCATAATAGGTGACTGTAGAAGACAATTGTAGTTATTTTATACCGAAGTATATTTTTTTTTCTTTAATCAATTTATGAAATATACGGAGTATTTTATATATCATTTTTCTTTAATGCAACATATTCAGACAATTCAGCGGACAGTCAACATTTCATCAATTTAAGTATATTTAGCCTATTCTGCCAATTTAAGTATTAATAAAAGGGTTTCATGCACCAAACCCCCTCGTGAAATATAAAATCGACGCATTAACCCCGTGTGATTTAAAAAATGCGTCAAACCCCTCTGTGTTATAATTAATCATGCGCAAAACCCCCTCTAAGACCAATATTATGAAAAGTAGTAGTAAAATAGTGCTTGTGCATCTATTTGACGGAATAGTCTATTAGGCATCCAAAACTCTAATAGACAGAATAACTAACGGAATGGGAAGGGTCATCCGATATTAAAAATGCTGGAGAAACTAAAGCACATTGATTTTAGCTCAAAGTACAAGCATATATTTGCTTATAGTTACACCAACACATTTTTTATGCCAAAAGTACCCTTACCTTCATTCACCATTATAATATTTTAGAAATATAGAAAAATTGTTTTAAAGTGATACTGACTAATATTTAACTTAGGGAAAATCACACTTTTAGTCCCTGAAATATATAGTCACCATATTGAAATGTCAGACCCGTGTTCACCAGCTTGTAAATGTCACACCTCAATTGTTCAAATTGTTGTACATCTGGTCCTTTGAAGGGTGAAATGTACAATGTGAGCGAGAAGTACATTTCACCCTCAAAGGACCACATTTACAGCAATTTGGACAATTGAGGGGTGACATTTACAAACTGGGAATACGGGTCTGACATTTCAATATGGTTACTATTTCAGGGATTACACGTGTAATTTTCCCTTTAACTTAAATAGTATGATTTTTCAATATTATTCACTATCCCTTCTACTTTACTCCTTAAATAGTGTGTCCAACTTAATGTAATGAACATTAAAATATAAAGAGAGTATTACTTGAAAAAGGGGATGTTTTTTTAATTTAATGCGCCTCCTCACTCTCTCCCACGAGTGAGGGTTCCTCTTAAGGATGTCAATGGGGGCGGGGACCCGTGGGGAACCGCCCCGCGGGGGAAGGATGAGGCGGGGTTTGGGGTGGGGCGGGGGGCGGGGATGGGTGAGATATTTCTACCCCGCTAAAATATGGGGCGAGGATGGGGATTACTACACCCGCCCCATCCCCGTCCTGTACCCGTTATAAATATATAGTCAAACATAGATATATATACATACATATATTAAAAAAACACATATTAATAATGTATAAACATACTTAATTAAATTATATGTACTATATAACAAACACATAAACATACTTATATACATGCATACATGTATAAAAAAAACATGCATACATGTATATATATGTGTATTAGTCATGATTAAGGGACCCATGATTAATGAACTGATACTACGTAAGTACTCCCTCCGTAACGTAAAGGTCTTCCCACTTTCCTTTTTCGTCCGTAACAAAAAGATCTTCCCATTTTTAATTCTTCTCATCACATCCTCAATAATTCTGAAAATAATACACTATTACAACTACTTTTTTTGGATTTATCCTACAATCCATCACATTATTCCACTATCTTCTCACCATACTCTCAATAATTCATATTCTCATTCACTATTCTTAATCTACCTACTTTTGAAATGGGAAGCTCTTTTATAAGTTACGGAGGGAGTATTATATTAGAATAATAAGTAATGACTAAAAATATTTATCATAAATGATGTATGAGTTTTAAAAGTGAGAAACTAAGTAAATAGAACACACACACAAATGTATAATATATATAATTAAGTGTAGTAGAATTGATGAGAAATTTGGAATGACATACATGATGGTAATACGTTTACTAATATTTTTAGTTTTATTATTTTCATAGAACTTATTCAAATTAAAGAATTATTAAAAATTGGCGGTAATGATAAAAAAAATTGGCGGTATCATCTTTTATCGAACACAATATTATCTAGTTTAACTCTTTTCAGTGCTATATATATATATATATATATATATATATATATATATAGGAAACTTCATGTCAGGCCGGCCTGACGGGCTGCCCCGTCCGGCCGAGCCCGTTTGGGCACCTTCCCGGTGGAATTTTTTGATGAAATTTTTTGAGCATGTTCCTCATCAAGTTTAGTTTGCCCATACCAAATTTCAGATCAAAATTCGATCGGGAAGGTCGTCAAATGATTTTTTCAAGTTAACTGGTCCGGAATATGTATTTTCCAGACCAGTTAACTTGCAAAAATCATTTCACGACCTTCCCGATCGAATTTTGAGCTGAAATTTGGTATGGACAAACTAGACTTGATGAGGAACATGCTCAAAAAATTTCATCAAAAAATTCCACCGGGAAGGTGCCCAAACGGGCTCGGCCGGACGGGGCAGCCCGTCAGGCCGGCCTGATGAGAAGAGCCCTCTCTCTCTCTCTCTCTATATATATATATATATATATATATATATATATATATATATATATATAGAGGGCTGCTCTCCTCCGAACTACCGGAGGAAAATGTTGTCCGACCTTTTTGTAAATAGAACTCTAGCGTTGGATTTAACTTCTAGGAACGGCCAAGATTAGTTTAGTACTTCAGTGTCTCCCATGCTGTTGACTTGAGATTATTTCTCCATATTCAAGATACTTTTGAATTGAATGATTGCTTCCACTCACTTTGTTTTTTTTTGTACTTTTAATTTGAAAATGGCTAAGGTCTCAATTACGTAGTACTAAATACGGATGTTTAATTTATTACAAGTATTACTCGAAAAGCATTAATATTAAATGAAAAATGTAAAAGTGGTTTTAAATTTTTGTAACATTGTCAATTAAAAAATTAATAAAAATATAGAGTACTATTTATATAAATAATAGTAATTCAGGAATAATAGTAAATCAATAGTAAAGTTGAACATAATTAAAGTGATTATGGCAATTCCAAATCATCAACATAATTCACAATTAGGACTTATGCAACAGTTAATAAATATTAAATAACGTATGAATCAAAGTATTCACTTTCTGAGACTCATATCATGGTAAACATCAAAACCATCTTTCAATCACCATGCCAAATAGCCAAATTAAAAGCATGTTAAACAAGTTTTATACTTGAAGCTTCAAATCTAGGTTTGATGTCAATAAACTATGACAATAAAAGTGATGCAGACTAAGACAAGAAGCAATATCATATAACACCAGCACAAGGTAGAGAGTATTTCAGACACCAAAACAAGGTAGAAAGTAGTATTTCAGAATGACAAAAAGTTACATTTTTAGCTCCTCCATAAAATACACAACGAAACCAGTAGAGACATCTTGAGAGAAGTATGTTAAGAGTTTTGAGCTTTGTTCAGAACTTGTGCTTCTTTACACTTCCTGCAAAATTCAAAATAATATTATTAGTTGTACTAACACATAATAAAGATGACATAAGGAGAATGCTGAGTATGTAATACATACCCACTTGCAAACTTGGGACAATTGCGCTTATCATGACCGTTTCCTTTACAAACGCTACATATTCTATTGAGAGATGTCGCCTTTTCTATTGACGATTTTAGTCGTTTACCACAACCTTTATGCCTTGCATGATCCGGTTCAACAAATTCTAAAGACTCTGGAGGGTCGTGATGATGCTTTTTTGCACTTTGGTTAGAGGTATTCTTTGAAAGGTGGTCTTTAAATTTCAACCGCCACTCTTCAAGAAGGTGGAGACCAACTTCTTGATCCTCTATAGACTCGGAAGACAACTCATAAAACCCGCTAAGAAAAGCATCAAGTGCTTTCCCATTTCTCCCTACCAAAGCCTTTCTATGATCTTCACAAATCTCAATGTCGTATGCATCTAGTACAATTCCCCTACGTGAGCCCTTCTTCCATCTATCCAAAATGTAGTAATCAGGGAGTTCATTTATGTTTAACATATCAAAAACTCTCAGTATGTGAGCACACAAGATCCCTTCAAACTCAAATTTACTACATGAACAAAATGCAATGTTGGTTTCACTATTAAAAGTAACACTCCTAGGTCTCTTGAGCGCGGTGTCAAGTGATATGCCTCGGTATGATAACAAAGAAGAAATATATCTAAAGTTTTATATCTTATAGACATAGTAAGAGGTGTGATTTGAGAAACACGAACCTGACCTCCGTTGGACAGAGGATGCCAAGAATCGATTGAAGAAGGCTATTCTTCAGAAATGGAGAAATGGTTTCTGTGCTAAGAGACCGAACCTGACGTCCGCCGGACAGAGGATGGCCAGAACCGATTGAAGAAGACTAATCTTCAGAAATGGAGAAATGGTTGCTGTGCTAAGAGACCGCCAATTTCCTCGAGTTGTGCTTTCCGCGGAAGTTTCTAGGCGTAAGACTGAAAACAAATAAAGTACGGGTACTATATTACTCCGTATGTGTATTTAGTGTTTAGAGATTTAGTGGGGAATGAAATCAAGCTGAAATAAAGTAGGCCCACTTAATTAAAAAGTTCGGATGCTTTTGCCTCCGGTAGTTCGGAGGAGAGCATTTCCGTATATATATATATAGATAAGAGATCACATACTAACCATGCTTAAAATACTAACTTACTAACTCAATAATATGCAACACATTGAACTTCAATATGCAGTACAAATAATGTAAAGATGCACACTGTGAATTTCAATATGCAATAAAAACAATATGCAAAACTTTGAACTTTAATATGCAGTACAAATAATATGCAACACTTTGAACTTCAATATGCAGTACAAATAATGTAAAGATACACCGTTTTTGATAGTTTGTAGGTTAGCATGGGAGGAATGGTTAGTATGTGATCTCACCCCTATATATATATATATATATATATATATATATATATATACAGAAAAGATCAGGTCCCTCCGGAGGGACGGGAGGGACCGTCCGAACTTCACTGTTTGGGGCGGTTCCCGGTGGAATTTTTTGATGAAATTTTTTGAGCATGTTCCTCATCAAGTCTAGTTTGTCCATACCAAATTTCAGCTCAAAATTCGACCGGGAAGGCAGTCAAATAAATTCCTGAAGCTTACTGCACATTCTGCGAATATATAAAGTGCAGTAAGTTTCAAGAAATTATTTGACTGCCTTCCCGATCGAATTTTGAGCTGAAATTTGGTATGGACAAACTAGACTTGATGAGGAACATGCTCAAAAAATTTCATCGAAAAATTCCACCGGGAACCGCCCCAAACAGTAAAGTTCGGACGGCTGCTCCCGTCCCTCCGGCTGGACCTGAGCAGTCCTCTATATATATATATATTTATCTATACAATGGATTAAAAATACAAAAACGAGATAATTAAAGTATATATGGGGGCACCTGGGCACTCGTGGGGGACATCGAGGTGGGGCGAGGATGGGGTGGGTCTGGGAGTGACGGGGATGAGGCGGCGATGAGGAGACTTTTTAGACATGGGGCGGGGATGAGAGATTGAACCCCCACGCCAAACCCGCCCCATTGCCATCCCTAGTTCCTCTCCTCCTTCCCGTATTTCAAGTGGCCTTTTCACTACTCTCACCAAGTGAAATGGCGATTTTCCTAACCACAGTTAGAATGTTTTTACTTGGACTGTAATTTGCTGGTCTGGTCTGGTCTGAACTGGTCTGGTCTGGTCTAGTAAGGTCTGGTTTCTTTGTATTTTATAACTATCCAAGTCTGGTCTGGTCTGGTCTGAACTGGTCTGGTCTGGTCTGGACTGCTCTGGTCTGGGACAAATTACACTCCAAGTAAAAACATCCTTACTCCACAAAACTAGTATGTATAATACGTAGTACTCCGTCAATGGGATAGTAAAAAAAAAAGGAAAAACGCCCACACGTGGCTGCTACTGTCGGTCTCCATTTTATTGCACCACCAGACCCTTCAAACAGTTGCGCGCGTCTCACATTTATCGTTCCTCCGTCTCTTTCGACCTCCTTCCTTCACCTCTGCGTTTACCTCTGCGTTTACGGGGCTTGGCGTAACGTCGGCTCTGTTTTCAGAACAATGAGCTCTGGGGATGGGGGTTCTCAATCATCATCAAAGAAATCCAAGAAACCACAATGTAATTCCTTCTCTCATTTCTTCTCAATTTCGGATTTCATTATCCGTTAACTTTTTTAAAAACCCATTTTTTGTTTGTTTGTTGACAAAAGTTATGCGCTAGGGAAGTTCTTTTGTTTTATCTCTTCATGTGAGAAAATGTGATATGGATTCTTTTCTATTGACAATTCTGTTGTCCTGTCCCTGATTATGTGGTTCAGATTCTAGATTTACTCAGCAAGAGCTTCCTGCTTGCAAGCCAATTTTAACACCAGGATGGGTATGACCACTGAACACTACCAACATTAATATTTTGAAAGTTGCACTGTTAGTCGTGATTATTTTACAGTATGTAATCATAGGATGCTACACGACCTAAAAGTATCCAAATATAGAAAATTGGAATTGCATGTCTTGGATTACACAATGTCAAACAATTGATGAACCAACTTACTAGGTCTAGCTATGGCATCATTTTTTAAAAAGTATGCTGAGAAATTGGCCTGCAGCCGACCCAAGAATCGAACCCGAACCAACCCGGAACTTGACCGAGTATAGTGGTTACAGCTCTGCCCCCCTACATGAATGGGAGCCAGACTGTGTCCATATCTCACTGCCTACAAATTTCTGGTTTGGCAGTTGGCACTAGACTCCAGTCTATGGCCTAGAGACCAATTTGCGCCTTCTGTAAGTTTGTTGATATAATAACATCATGCTTTCTGAAATTTCTTCATCTTGATTGTCAGGTCATTACAACCTTTATTTCCATTGGCCTTGTTTTTGTGCCTATTGGCCTTGCAGCATTGTCAGCATCACAAAGGGTAAACTCCTTATAAAACCCTTTGTCTGAATATTATTGTTTTAGATTACAACATGATCTATCTGAAATATGAATTTGAACCGATGTACAAGCTTAACTTTTACATGAGGAACTTTAACATGGTATCATTAGAGCGCGAAGTCCTCCATCCAAAACTCCCCGCCGCCCAATTTAAATGAATTGTGCATGTGTTAGGCCTTGTTTGGGAAAAGTAAACCCCTCCCACACAAAAGAGGGTGTGTGAAGAATTTATTAAGTAAATTAAACTGGAACTACCTTTCCTTCTTAAACTATTAGATCTCACTACTTTAACAAACTGGTGTGCAGGTCGTAGAAATTGTGGATCGTTATGATGACTTGTGCATTCCTTCAAGTAAAGTGGATGAAAGAGATTCAAATCACGAGAGGGCTGAGTTTATACAAAATGATAAAACAAATAAAACATGCATCAGGACCTTGATAGTCAGTCTTATTCTCCCCATAGTCATTAACTGAATGTTCAGTGATTTTAGCTAAATCTTTGTTCTATCTTCCTCTGATCAACAAAATGATTGCTGACATTCATGACTAGGTTCCCAAGAAGATGCAGAGTCCGGTTTTTATCTATTACGAGCTCGATAACTTCTACCAGAATCACCGGAGGTATTCCTTTTCAGCACATTTGAAAATTAATTTGGGTACTCCTGTATGGTTCTGTCTTAAAAATGTGTGTTTTTGTATGTGAGGAGGGGGAACACAGGAAAAACTTCACTACAGAATGAGCGCAGATCATTTTGTGCTTGGATCACTAAGGGTATGTTAGGATCCCGGGAAATACTATGGGAAGGGAAAAATGCCAAGGAATTTTGTTTTCTGATTTGACTTTATGACATTAGCTTAGAAAGCTCAAATCTAAATGAAATATGATTACTTCTATTTGTTTTTTTACATATGCTTTGATATCTTAATCCTTATACAGACATAAATAAGTGAAATGAGTATCAACAAATATCTAATATAAACTTGTTGAATTAGAATCTTTTATTGTCCCCAACATTTTAATTTTGCTACCAAATTTTCACCAAGTTTTCCTTCCTGTGTGGTTTCTCTAGTATTTTCCCATCCAAACAGACCATAGAGTTCTCATTTTGACAATTAATGGTCCTTAAGTTGTTTAAGTGGCTCACTAATTAGTAATATGCAATGTCAAAACCTCAACAGTCGAAATACTATACATGGTGCTCCTGGGTCATTGAAGTTTTTCCCGTGAACTCTAGTTCTGAATGAGGGAGAGAACTGGATTTTTGGATAGGGTTAGCTAAGCTAAGGGCTTGGTAACATTCAGTCAGCCAAATAGGGCATAACTCAGATTCTACTTATTTTGTAGATATGCAGAATAATCCAGATATGGCTACCAAACTGAATCCTATATATGATTTTGGTGTCTTTTAACCACACTGCAATTGAACATCCTAGAAAGTACAAAAAAAAGAAATGACCCTTCTTCTTCTCCTTGTTCTTCTCCTGATGTTTTTACAGATATGTAAAAAGCAGAAGTGACAAGCAATTGCGCAGCCCAGAGTCAGAGTATGACACGAAAACTTGTGCTCCTGAATCAATGAATAACAATAAGCCAATTGTTCCCTGTGGACTTGTTGCTTGGAGTTTGTTCAATGACTCTTATGGGTTTAAGATTAGCGACAAAGAGGTACCTATTAATAGAAAGGATATTGCTTGGGGAAGTGACAGAAGACACAAGTTTGGCTCTGATGTTTATCCAAAGAATTTTCAGCAAGGAAGCCTTATTGGGGGTGGAAAACTGAATCAAAGCTTACCAGTTAGTACATACTCTTCCATTATACGTAGTAATACTTTTATATAAATTTAGTAAGTGTTGGGAAAGGCTAATGCCTCGTTTGGTAGCATGAATTGGTTTGTTCTGCTAATTTTGCTTATCACCAAGATAAGCAAAATGGATAATTTTTTACCTACCTATTTTGACTGAAAAGAATGTTTCCGAACACATTTCCTTTCATAAACCGCTGCAGACTACGCAACCATTTCAGTGAACCAACCTTTACCAAATGGGCCCTAAATATGGTTGAAGTGACTGATCGAGTGATCGACTGAAGTTGTGTAAGCTGTGTTTAGAATAAATGAATTGAATGAGTATGCTAAATTATCTAAACAATTTATTTAAATATATTTCTACATAAATGAAATAAAAACAATATCTAATAATAAAGATAGGAGTACTAATTGCAGTAATTTCAGACACAGTGTTAACTACTATTTACACAAAATAAATGTGTGTGCAACTTTCGGCCGATTCAACTCAGTCAATAAAATAATGTTTGATTAAAAAACTGGCTAATGAAACTGATAAACTGAAAAAGAAGCCTACCAAGCGAGAAAATTCCTAAAAAAGGACGACACCCCATCCCTGAAGGCCCTCAAAACCGGTCAGACAGTTATTTGAGAAGATCTAAATTGAGCTTTGATCACACACTTGTGTAGAGTGGGGTTCCAGCCCAAGTGTGTAAATAAAAGAAAGGCCCCTATGTAAGTTTTAATGGAATCCACAGTTGAGTGGTCAAAATGGCTCTTAGTCTTGGTATTTGAACTTTCATTTTTCTTTATGACAGTTAAGTGAGCAAGAGGACCTTCTTGTTTGGATGCGAACGGCAGCTTTGCCGAATTTCAGAAAGCTGTATGGGAGAATAGAAAGCGATCTCGAAGCTAATCAGGAGATTACTGTGGTAATCCAAAACAATTACAATACGTACAGTTTCGGGGGTAAAAAGAAGTTGGTTATTTCAACAGCGACTTGGGTTGGCGGGAAAAACGATTTCCTTGGAATAGCATACCTCACAATTGGCGGGATTTGCTTCTTTTTGGCAATAAGCTTCATACTTTTGTATGTCATCAAACCAAGGTAAATACTCTACAATTATTCATTCCATTCTTCTATGGTTGTTCTTCAAAACGAGTCATCTTTGGGTAGCAATTTCCCTTGTTAGTTCATTTTAACTTTTGGCCATCCACTTCAATTTTCATGCACACTTTTGAGTTTCTTGCCACTTTTGATCTGCTTGATAACTTATCTAGCTAATTTTAACTTTTGAACAATTGAAGATTGACTTTTCGTCGAATCAGTGATAAATTGAGAATGTCGCAAGATGAATACTTGTGTGCCAAATGTGTAAGAAATGAAAGTAAAAAGACAAATGTGATGATGTGAATAACAAAGATATATTTTTCTTCATATTCTCATCATGTATGGTTTCTGCAGGTCATTTGGAGATCCCGCCTTTTTATCATGGAACCTCAATCCCGACATGAATTGAAATTTTCTCTACGATTTCCTTCATTTTCTGTTCTGTCTTTTATTCATTCATTCATGAAGAGTGTAATTAGTTTTACTGTCATTGACTCGTTGAGCTAGTGTATATATTTTCTAAATTAGTGTTGTAGCCAAAGAGCTTCATATGTTCTTTAACTGATAATTCCTATGTCCCAATTTAAGATCTCAAACACTATTAACTTAATCAGCTTAATTCTCTTTTAATCTCCATTTTATACAATAAATCTTTATCATTTTCAAATTTGGCTTTTGCGATTCAATAATTTTTTTCCCACTTTCAGAATATTTAAGTATTAAATAGTTGTTCCAATATATATATATATATATATATATATATATATATATATATATATATATATAGAGAGAGAGAGAGAGAGAGAGAGAGAATTTTGATTATCAGAAAATGGTTGAAACTTTTGATAAATTAAAGCCTAAGTAATGCCAAATCAAAAGAAAATTTTGTAATTGAAGTTATCTAGATTTTCTTTTGGTAAATTAAAGCCTAAGTAATGCCAAATCAAAAGAAAATTTTGATTATCAGAAAATGGTTGAAACTTTATCAATTTATTTGAAGATGAAAAGTCTAAAAAGTACATATACACCTATATTTTTTAAATGACTATTGCATTTTTGAGTTACACTTATTTGTTCATCATGGATGTTTACAAAATTACAAGTCATAAGGGGTCTTTTAATATTATAATAGTATCTAAAAATTATTGATTTTAAGATTAATATCTTTCTGTAAATTCATATACTTTGTGCCTTATATATTTTTATTAATGCTAAGATATTTTAAATTTATTATTTATGCGGTGAATTTGTATAATTTTATTGTGACACAGACATTTATATCTCAAATTCACTTCACATTATCTGATGATCGTTTAACTAGTGTTTATAGTATTATAGTATTACTTAATATTTTTCAAAGTCGGGTACTTTTATATATTAAAGATAACTCAAACATTATAAAAATGAGATTTTTTTCTAGAATAAGTATCATAAGTCTTAGATCAATGAATTTTCTATTATTTATTTGTCAAAGGCAAGAAACTAATAACAATATTGATGATCAGAAAAAAACTAAACTTAACTGAAATAGATCATCAATGTAAGCTACTTTAGATTTTTCTTCTTTTACGCCTCCTATTAAGTATTATATAGTGTAACACTATAATTAATTTTGGAAACCAAAAGTCAAGTGAGGACTGAGGAGAACACAAATATATCTATTTAAAATATAAAAATTATGAAAATATTACATATACAATAAAAAATGAAATTTCAAGGGGAGCCCCCCAGATCCATCCATGGGTACAATCCGTCTCTTAGAAGAAAAATATGATTCTTTTTAATACAAAGTAAAAACTGTGTTGTTCAGGTTTGTGCAGATCAGAAAAAAAAATAGGAACCCCAAATTCATTGATTAAAAGGGAAAGTGGTAAAATATTTTGAACAACTACAAAAGGAAAGATACAAAGGGAGGGAGGATTAATATACACACGTACTAAAATGAAGAGAGTCATCTGATGATGTGATTATGTGAATGTGTGTGTGGAAGAGTCTAAACTTGCAGTGAGATATATCAAGGTGTTGTAATTCTAACATATCAATCAATCTTGGTTGAGATCTGAAGATCTATCAATGTTAAATCTTTCGCACACTAGCATCTGGTTCTTACTCCACCATCTTTCTGCTTCTTTCTCGGTGAACTTTCTCCTACTACAAAAGTGCATGTAACCAAAGTTAATTAATTAATAGTCTGATCACAAGTTGCTAATTGAGAGGTTATAGTTGAAAATTTACCTGAACCGGACCCGCTTGAGATTCTTGCGCCCACTGGGCAAAGTTTTCAGTGTTATATAGACACCGGGTTCATACTGCTCCACCCATTCTTGTACTGGATCTTCCTCAACCGGCGGGGATGATTCCTCATCTTCTGACCTCTTCTTACACAATGATCTTGAGAATAAAACTGGTGAAGTACAGAGGCTGCTATTCACTTTTCGGTCTTCTCTAGGAGCACATATAGCAAGAACAGTAGTAGATGCCTCATTATTTACATCTGTTGCTATATTTCCTGTATCTGTGGAAGTTATCTGAAGCAAATATGCAGCTGCTGCTTGATCCTTAATTCTTATACCACCACAAACATCTTGTGACATAGTTTGGAGCTGCAACATATATATAGATAATAGCAGTTAAGGTTCATATATGTTTGTGCAGATTATGGCTATGTTTGGTTCTGGAATTAATCAAGGCAAACATATTCATTTTATTCACTTAATTAGGATATCAATTTTCCATCATTTGCAATGGAGCCAAAGATTCATTATTTTTTGGCTTGAGAATATGATGGAATAAAACAAAATGGCTCACTGAAATGTCTGCGCTTCTTTGTTATGAAACAGCAGTCAGTCCATGCAATTTTAGACGCGATTTTCACTATGGGTCATCCGGAAACAGTCTGTGTTTTAGTACAGGGGTAAGACTGTGTACATCTGACCCCCTACCCATCGTAGATGGGGAGCCTTTGCGGCATTGGGGTAAATGAAAATGATGAATTAGGATATCAATTCTTAATTTTAATTTCTATTTTGTAACTTTATAGATTGTTTGAATGTAGTTACTTCTGAGTCTTTATATAATAGATTTAGAAATGAATGCACAAAAGCGAGTTGCGAACAAATATCTAATATCGGTTCATTGACTAAGGACTCACTTTTTCAATGGCACAAAACTTCTTCATTTTCCTTTCTATCATTTCCAGGTTTCAAAAGGGCCTAAGAAAAGGGATCATAATTTCAAAACAAAGTTACCCTTGATGTCAGAGATTTAATATCTTCCATTGCTGCTTTGTAGTTGGTCGATTCCTCAATTGCCAATGACCAAATATCCTTGAGTTTCTGTTGACGTTCTAGGATTCTCTCTTTTCTTGATTGACATAGTTTCTTAAGGCTATGAACCTGTAAGTATCCATCATTAGATAAAGGTTAGCAATAATAGATAATCTTGAAGTCTATAAATTTATTTACACTCTTTTTTACTCATTTTTTATTTAGAGGATAAACTAATTAATAAACATTTATGTCTATTGTCTTTATCCGTAATACTTTTTCTCCTTTCACTTTCATTTTCAGGGATCCAAACATACCCTACAACTATAGGAGAGCTAACGTGCTCATTCTACCTTTAGAAGCAAAGTACTGCGCTAATGCAGTCTTAAGCCATTAATCATACGGAGTATAAATGTAGCCATGCAATCTCAGAAGTAAAGCACTACTGCAAGATTTTAAAAGTAATAATTTGGTTTGTTTTTAATTGCAAATCATTAACTTTTAAATTTTATAAGACAGAGTTCAAACACACTTTTTCTTCAACATAAAAGTGAGGCCCCGTTCTAAACGTCATAATGAGGCCCCATATATTTATTTAAGCATAAAAGCATAAAATTACACAATAAACTACATTAATAAACTTTTCAAGTTCAATAATCCGGAATCGCATAAATCACCCTATCTGTATTATGCGATTACACAAAATTACTTCATATTTTGTAAGTCTTGTTCCACACTTTCAGTTTGGATGAATCAATAGAAACTGATGTATCTGGAGATGAGAAATAATCAAATAAACTCCAAAAGACCCGTTTCCGACTGCAAATGGAATACGCTGTTCTGGTAGTGTGAAATTTTAAGCACATTTAATTGCTTCTTAACTATTGGGCAATCCAATTCTGTCGGCAATCAATTTAATCGACCCATAGTTTCTACTCCGTATTAATTATGAGTAGTGGCCTAGGGATAAAAACTACGTAGTACTACTATTGTATAAAAAATATGGGGCCCCTGTGCACTGTGGGCCCCTGTTCTATAGAACCCAATTCACTTGCTATTAGCTGGCCCTGCATAAAAGTAGCAAAATGGTGATATTTAGATAAGTACTTTATTGTTTTTCAAAAATATTACTAAAATAAAACTTATTTACACAAAAATGATTAATAGTTAATACAATGTCATGTCATGGTAACTTAAGTGTAAAAACTGAACATAAGTTACTAAGATTTCATTACTAATCTAGTCATTAGTCACATTTTTGTAAACAATCTTCATTTTAATCATATATATATATATATATATATATATATATGCAATTTTGAAAAAGTGATTCTTAAAAGTCATTCCAAAATGGATATTCAGTTTGCTAGAGTATGATTGTTCAATTCTACACAAACACATACACTTGTGGTGTCATGGTGTGTCTATACATATACATACATATGATATTGGATCAAATAAGAAAGTCTTAATGTGAAAAATGATAATCATTTTTCTACATTAGGTTTGAGATCTGATGACTCTAAAAGTATCAATAATGCACCACTCACTAGATTGGGTTAAAAACGTGATGACATTTTCGTAAATAAGTGAACATTCATGTCACTGTAAAAAAGTGTAGTATTTTAACTTAAAAGTGCAGTGCAACGAAGTAAAGGTGAAAGTTATGTACTTTATTTTCAGGTCAAACTCTGTTTTTATTTTAACCGCATCGTGCACACACACATGGTGAGATTCAAATAAGAAGAAGCCTTTTGGCGAGAAATGTGAATGAATCTCAGCCGTTAGGTTCGATTATGTTGCAGTAAAAAGAACTTGATGTTGCACGGAAATATGCAACTAAGCAAGGTGGCATTTTTGTAAATACTTCTGAAAATTTGTATTACATTGCTCTAGTTCAATCTGAAGCTTTTTTGGTGCATCGTCGTCAAATTTTAGTGCAATATGTAACAATTATAGTGCAAAATTGAAATCTTACTACAACATGAAGTTACTTGTAGTGCAACATCGTAAAACTTACAATTGAGATTCATTTCTCATTTTTCACATTAGATGCATTTCGCACTTGAACCAATACACACACAGATGGCGGATTACGTGCAAACAATGATTATTGTGCAAATATTTATATGGTGCATCTTTACGTTATTTGTATTGCATATTAATGTTCAAAGTGTTGCACATTATTCTACAATTAAATAAGCAGTTGCATATTAACGTTCAAAGTACTGCATCAGATTTTTGTTTTGTTTTGTCACCAAAATGCCACTGAGCGACTATACCCTTTAGATAAACGCATCAGGTGGCAAACTGAATTTGTAGTTTGTAAATTAGGAGGATTTTGTATTT